GACGAATGGCAACAACGCTGGGATGAATCATCCAAGGGGCGCCATCTTTACCAATTCTTTCCATCTATTCGCGAACGGTTGTCGAGGACATGGCTTGAGGTGGATCACTGTGTCGCTCAATTTCTTACGGGTCATGGTAACTTTAAGAGCAAGCTTTATTCATTTAAATTAGTCGAGTCACCATTGTGTCAATGCTCAACACCTAACTCTCACTATGAACAGTCTGCTCATCATATCCTCTGGGAATGTAGTCTTTGGTGTAATGAACGTAATATAATGCTGAATACCTTGCAGGTGACATCTGGGGCGGTATACTATGGGGATCTTGTGTCAACTAGGGTGAATTTCCGTGCGTTTAGGCGATTCTGTCATACATATTATAGAAATCAAATATAGCTCACGTAGGACCCGTAATATTTCGTGGCCGTGGTGCTTCCCTGTTTAAAAGGGTGTATGCCCATTTTATTTCATTTTGTCTCCCGCTTTGCTAAGGAGGGAAGTGGATTTACTATGTTTCCAACTCCTCCAATTTTCTTCTGATTAATTTCGTTGCGGGTTCCAAGACAGTTTAATTTCTTCCTGGGACTTCCCGAGTGTCATAACTCGGTGTGTTCGTGGGTCACTGCTGTGGATCCTGGTGTACAGGAGTTACAGTGGTGGGCATGTGGGCGGGATTAGTCCCATTATACCAGCTGCATTTGTTTTAATGCTCTGTAGAATTTTAAGTATACTGCTCTGATCTACTGGTTCTAGTTTAAAGTATAGCTCAGGGTTGTACCTGTGAAATTCATAAAATGTTAATTTGGACGATGCTCAGTTGTCTCTCGCATCGTAGCTTCATAAAATCTTTATTTATAATATTTGGATCAGTGAAATGGTCCGGTAAAAGTCTATGCTTATGTGATGGAAGCACTTTAGATTTTAAAGTTTTCCACAAGGATTTTGGGTCATGTATCTTGTTATTTATATTATTTGCGAAATATACAGATTTTTCATTATATAATGCTATATTAGCTTGTTGTTTGAGATCCAGATAATATTTCTTTTTTGATGGCAGTTTAGTTTGATGGTACTCAGCCCTAGCTCTGTCCCTCAGCTTAAAAATGAACTTAATGTTGTCAGTTATCCATGGGGTGTACTCCCTTTTGACTAAAGTGTGTTTTATGGGAGCATGGTTGTCAAACAGATTTATTATGTGTTTTGATAAGTCTTCAACCATGCTGTCAATCCCATCCTCTAAGGCTAAGGCTTGCCACGGTATATGCTCCAGATCTGTATTGAAAAGGTCCGGCAGAATGTCCTTGTATGGTCTATATGTAATCCATTTGGGTTTGATTTTGCCCTTCCTAAATACTGACTCACAGGTCACTATCGAATGGTGACCTAAGTTGGGAACATGACTGACCACAATATTTCTCACAGTCATGTCAGTGCATATGACATCTATCAAAGTGCCACTATTTCCTATGAAATGTGTTGCAGTGTTTACTACTTGACTCATATTAGTGTAATGAAGGAACTGTTGCAGCTTTGTAGTGTTTGCACAGCATCCATCCAACATGTTGATATTGAAGTCGCCTAGAAGAATTATGTGGTCAAACGGAGCCAGTGCACCTATGCTGTCAGTCAGACCATCCAAGAACTTGTCAGTAAACATCCAAGGGGGTCGGTAGGCTGTACCGACCAGAACCTTTTTTCCGGCTATGTTTATTGAGAGCCAATACTGCTCCACCTCACTGAGTAAAGGATGACTTCTGGTTTGTACCTTAACCCCATTCTTTATGTAGAATCCTACCCCTCCACCACGACCACCTCGAACAGAATTAGGTCTCGGAGTGTGCCTCAATCTATAGCCCGGTACTGAGGGTGCTCTCCCCTCCTCACCTGGCCTCAACCAGGTCTCATTAATGGCCATGATGTCAACTGAGTGTAGACTTATTGCAATCAAAAATTCATCATGCCTAGTTCCCAGTGACCCTGCGTTAAATAAACCAAACCTTAAGAATTTGTTCTGGACCATTTTTATTTATTATATTTTTCTAAATAAGTATACCATATTACCAACAAATTATCAATATATCTTAGTAGTTGCCGAATGCCTGTGGTCATCATGTAAACCATAAAATGAGTTAAATTAGAATCTATATCCAAAAATATGTTTAATTCAATTTGTTCATTGGTGAAGTTAAGTAAGCGTACAACCCTCATCAAAAACACAACACTAGAGTTAAGGAGATCACAACAACACACACTAAAAAAGTTATTCCATTTTAGTTTCTTAAGATATGTACAATGTATACACTTCACACTATTAGTTATAAGGAAATGCCTGTTATTTTTACCTACTAATAATAATAATACCTTTTTGTAAATAGTTTTGTAAATATTTGTATGTAGGAGTTTTATAAAATTTATTTTGTAAACAGTTGTGTTTAGATTTGGCTTAAACATGTTTGCAATCAAATGTTTCCTGTAAATAGCCACATGTGAATATGTATTTTGTTTTATAGTAAAAGTATTTGTAATCTTATGTTCCTTATACATAGTCACATGTGAGTGTGCACTCTGTTCCTCACCTTCAATGATATAAACAACATAAAGGACCATTGCTAACACTGATTTAATTATTGGAAACTGATCTTCACACAATGCACCCATGATACATTTGTATAGCATGTGAAAAGGCAGTCGGCATTTACAGATTACCTGAGATGTTGATAAACGAACGTACCCCGATGTGATCATGCTAGTCTTTACTGGCGGTAACGGTTTCTTTACCGAAAACCTGTTCCAGATCGGCTTCAGAGCGAATTACATAGGTGCGCTTTCCGTCAGCTTCCTTAGTCAGTACTCTGCCCCGACTCGTCCAGGTGAACCTCCAGCCCAGACTGGCAGCCGCCTGTCGGGCGCGGTAGAACAGGTGTTTGTTTGTTCTGGTGAGTCTCTCGTTGAGATAAAAGCGTCGCGACGGCGCATCTATGCCGAGGTCGGCTGAAGTGGCACCGCGCCTAACGCGCGCGCTCCGCAGAAGCTCTTCCCGCAGCCCGCGCCGCGCCAGCCGCACCACGATGCGCCGACACCGCGCCGCGCCCGCCGACTCGCCTGACTCACGTGACCGCGCCACACGGGGGCCCACGCGCTCTGCGAACACTATATCCCGGTGCTCCAAGGTGACACCTAGTTTCTTCGCTACCAGTTCCACGGAGTGAAACACATTCTCACCGGGACTCTCAGGGAGGTTCGAGATCTCGATGTCAGAGAGCAGCAGTTCCTGCTCTCGTTCACCGAGCTCTGTTTGCAGCTGCTTTACCGTGTGCTCCAACTGGTCCACCGCAACCTCGGGGGAGGTCGCCTGCTTCCTCTCGAGGTCATCCAGACGTGACTCCAGGTGATCGACCTTTTTTTTGTAGGTAGCCACAGTCTGACGCAGGTCAGCCATCTCGAGGCGGAGCTCCCGCAGCTCGGTTCTAATATCTTCCCCCATTTCCTTCATCTCCGCTCTCATCAGCTTTATTTCGTAGGCAATATCAGCACCATGATCTTGATCTTTACTGGCGGAGCCACCGGTAGATTGAGAGGAGTCATAGGAACTAGTGGGGGAACTCTCATTCTTCTCATTGCGCGTTTCCTTTGCCGAGCTCGGCTGATTGCGGTCCTTGGGGATATTATTTTTGCAGTCTTGGCACTGCCATTCCCTGCTTACCCTCGTAGCATCCGGCAAGCGCAAACAAGGCAGGTGATACTTTTTATTGTGTAGGAGGTATACACAAATACATACATACACGTCTATACTATATAATATTCCAATACTATCTTCCTTCTATCTAAACATTTCTATAACTAATATAATTACATATATCTTATTATTATACACTATATATCATTACAATATAATATGTAGTATTTATTTACATATTCTATACTACCAGCTACACTTTCACTTTATATAAATAATTTAAGTAAATCGAATAATATTTATTTATATTTCATTCGGTGTAGTGGGACCACACCCTAATCTTCGAGTCCTATTGTTTCCGCCGTCGGTCGGTGCAAGCGCATCGACCGCTGCATAGAATTAGTTCTCGTACTGCCCTCGGTCGCGAAACCTATTTTGTTGCCTATGAAACATATAAATTCTATGTATAAATATAACGTGTAAATCTGTGACATTATATATCAAATTTTCTCTTGACTGTTTCTTGTGCTGTGTTAATTGTTGTGAGTCTTGTTTCTCCTTCTGTGAGTGTAAATAAACTTGTGCTACTACCTTCCAATACAACTTTTATTTTTCTCAATCTTTCTGTAAGTAATTTTTATCTATACTACAATTGCATCTGCAACATACAGCGACACCTTTTGACGAGGTAAATTTACCACATGCTGCGCAGTTTGCCATTTTAATGATATGTAGCAGATAGTTATAATAATAGGTGTAGGTATTTTTTACGAGAGGGGGCAAACGACCAGATGGGTCACCCGATGGAAGTCTAGAAGATCAATTAAACACTCGTCCGTATCGAAGTGTCGCAATTAGTTCTGCTATCGATCAACAGATGGCGCTGTTGTCAGTATCAGTTTAAGGCTTTATTTTAGGCTGTATTTTTCCATTCGTCACGAAATAGACCTATCACCACACACGCGGCGAGGGAGATTAATAGTTCTGGGAGCGACAGAGTTGCTTTTTCACTAATTTAGCACTTTTATTTTGTAGATTAGGGTAGATATTAATCACTGTTCTGATTCGTATTTTATATTTAACTTTATTTAAGAGTACACAGCACTTTAAGACTTGCAAACACTGCACAGTAATGCTTAGGACATAATTAATATTGTGAGCAAATAAATTATTTAAATAAGAGGACTTTATTATTTTTAAATTGAAACATAAACAGAACGCTACCAATCACTACTACCGACGTCTATCCGTCTACCTTAATAACTTCTACATTAATGATATTACAGTAAATGCATTAATCGATACCGGTGCCACTTGTTCTATAATGAAAGAGTCCATCGCATTTCGGTTGGGCTGTCACATTGCGCCTTGGTCGATTAAATTGAATGGTATCGGCTTTGGTCGCTTGAATACTTACGGTAAAATTACGGTACCAGTTCGTTTTGATGATGTATGTATTGAATTAGAATTACATGTGGTCACTGATGATAACTTTGCCTATGATTGTTTAATTGGACAAGATGCTGTCAACTATGCTGATATTGCCATTGTGACTGACATATCTGGCACAAAAATTATACGAAAGAATGTAGTAAATTACGCTGATTATAATGAAGAAAATTTACTTTTAGAACGCATTTAAAATTTAGATACGGATTTAAGAAGAAAAATTAAAAATATTTTTGATAAATATCCAAAAGTATTGCCTTCTGATGAGTATATTGGTAATGTTAATACTGGTACATTAGAAATTAAACTTAAGGTTGATAAGAATATTAATTATCGTCCTTACCGTTTGGCTCCTGTAGAACGTGAAAAGGTAAAAGTTATTGTGAATGACCTTTTGCGAGCCGGTATAATCCGTGAAAGTGATTCTTCTTATGCAAGTCCCATATTGTTAGTAAAAAAGCGTGACGGTGGTGACCGAATGTGTGTGGACTATAGAGCTCTAAATACTATAATTGAAAAGGAAAGATATCCTCTTCCCGTAATTCAAGACGAAATTGACCAATTAGGTAAGGCTAGGTACTACATATCTATTGATATGAAAAATGGCTTCCATCAAATTCCGGTTTCTCAAAATAGCATTAAATTTACAGCTTTTGTGACACCAGACGGACATTATGAGTATGTTAAAATGCCTTTTGGTATATGTAATGGCCCTTCTGTTTTTCAACGTGCTATTACAAAAGCGGTTAAGGATCTAAAGTTTCTGAGAGTTTACATGGATGATATACTCATCCCATGCGAAAGTATTGAACAGGGTCTTGAATATCTCGACTTAAGCTTGGCAGCACTTGTTAAGGCTGGATTTACGATAAACTTAAAGAAATGTCAGTTTTTCGTTACGTCTATAGAATATTTAGGATGGATAATTTCAGCCGAGGGTGTGCGACCCAGTGAAACAAAAGTTAGAGCCTTGGTCAATGCTCCCGTTCCCAAAACTGTCAAACAGGTTAGGCAATTTATGGGCCTTGCCAGTTATTTTAGAAAATTCATTCCTGAATTTGCTTCTAAAACTGCTTGTATAACTAAGCTTACCAAAAACGGACAGAGTTGGGAATGGGGTAATGAACAAGATGCGGCACGTAAATATATCAAAGACAGACTGATATCGGAACCCATACTCTCTATCTTTGATCCTTCACTTCCTACAGAGTTACATACCGACGCCAGTTCAATTGGCTATGGCGGGATGCTTATTCAGAAACATGGTACAAACAATAAGGTGGTCGCATATTATAGTCGTCGCACTACTGAGCCTGAATCCAAATATTCGTCTTACGAATTAGAAACCCTTGCGGTCTATAATTCTCTTAAAAACTTTAGAGTTTATCTTTTAGGCATACGATTCAAAATTATTAACGATTGTAATGCTATTAAATAGACAATGTATAAAAAAGACCTGTCTCCTAGAGTTGCTAGGTGGTGGACTTTCATGCAGGATTTTAACTTTGAGGTTATTTATAAGAGGGGTATTTACGTTGGACATGTTGATTTTTTAAGTAGAAATCCTATTGTATTAGTCTCCTCGAAGTCAAAGATTTTGAAAAATTCATTCAAGGTCAATTTGATAACGAAGCATTCATCCTGGTTGGAAATAGCTCAGCACAGAGACCCAGAAACATTATCTATGATAGAAAAAGTGCAAACCGGTGAGTTAAGTGAGGCCATGGAAGCGGAATATCGCAGCGACAGCCGGAAACGCGGACGCTCAGGGGACGAGGAAACCGACACGTCCCAGGAGATGATGCCACCGAAAGTGGCAAGCAGCCGTCGAGGGAGGCCACGAAAACCGGCCTCGGTCTCGATCCCGTCAGGCTCCGCGTTCTCAAACGCGGAGTCGTACAGAAGCGTACGGGTGGACGGCGAGGCCGTAGCGGAGGAGGAGATCGCGGATCTCCTGCTCAAAGTTCGGGAGCCGGTGGGGGGAAATGCCCCCCAGGCTCTCGTGTCCGTGCAGGAGAGGGCGAAAGCGGCGGTGGCCGTCATCCACAAGGTGGCCACCAAGTCCGTAAACCTAAAGGGCTCGTTTGTGAAGGCCCTTAAGGACTCCTCCTCCGCTTTGTCGGAGGTCGTGGAGGGCCTGGTGGGCGATGTCTCTTGCCTACAGTTGGCCAACGAGAGACTCACGGAGCGGGTGAACGAGCTGAGCGCTCAGTTCGCCCGCTTCCAGGCGAACCTCCCCGAGCGGGAAGCCCCGTCCGCGTCCCAGCCTGCCCCTACCACCAACTCAGGGGCATTTGACTCCCAACTGCGTGAAATCCTCATCGCAGTTGGGAATATGCTGGACGGACGCCTGGCTGGCCTGGAGGCGAGACTGCCCCCTGCGCCGGTTGTGCGCCCCCCGCTCGCGTTGGCACAGCGGCCTAAGGCCGCCGCTCCGACCGCGCTCCCCGTGGTGGAAGGTCGCGTTTCTTACGCGGCGGCGACGTCTGCCCCTGCTCCATCGGCTCCCCAAAAGCCGAGGAGGGGGGCCAAGGCACTGGCCCAGGCGCCGGACAAGGCACCGGCCCAGGCGCCGGCCAAGGCACCGGCCCAGGCGCCGGCCAAGGCACCCGCCCAGGCGCCGGCCTAGGCACATCCCCAGGCGCCGGCCAAGACGGGGCCTAAAACAACGCCGAGGAGCGGAGTGGCATTCCCTCCGCTCCCCACTCCGACACCCCTACCGGGCCCCTCCGCACCTGCCCCCTCCAACGAGGGTTGGCAGGAGGCGAGGGGCTCCAAGAAGTCCCGAAGGCGGGCCAGAAGAGCTGCTCAAAAAGCAGCCCAAGCCCAGCCTTCGCCACCGGTGACAACGGCCTCTACTAAGAGGCCGCGGAAGCTGCAGCCGCCCAAAACCGCGGCTGTAGTGGTGACCGTGTCCCCGGGGGCGGCTGACGGCGGGCTGTCCTACGCGGCCGTCTTTAAAAAGGCCCGGGACAGTCTCGCCAATGATTTTGGGACGGTGGGGGTCAGGATGCGCCTCGCCCAGACGGGAGCTCGAGTTCTCGAGTTCCCAGGGGCTGAAGGCGGGGTTGCGGGGTTTATTCGCGACCACAGATGGTGTCAAGATCGCCAGGCCTACCAAGTGCGCGGAGCTGCGCATCTTGGGCCTGGACGACTCTGTCACGGCCGAAGATGTCCGCGCTGTAATCCGGGAGAAGACGGGGTGCAGCGCGGACAACGTCAGGGTCGGCACCATCCGCCCCGGTCCAGGGGGGCTTGGCGCCGTGTGGGTCAGCTGTCCCGGCAGGCTGCTCATCGGTTTCGTGAGCGCTAGGATCACAGTCCTGGCGGCGAGACCGATGAGGTGTTATAAATGCCTAGCATCGGGGCACACGCGCGTCAAGTGCCAAAGCTGCTTCGACTGCAGCGGACTATGTTTCCGCTGTGGTCGACCGGGGCATGTGGCGGTGGAATGCACTGCCGCCCCTCACTGCCCGGTGTGTGCGGCGGGTAACAAGCCCGCCAATCACCAGATGGGGCAGGGGGGCTGCAAGCCTCCCCGCAACTCTCAGCAAGCATCGGGGGCTAGCCAGTCGACCCAGGCTGCCTCCGATGTAGTTCGTGCGTCGACGTCGTCGCCCATGGAAGAGGCTGTAGAGACGATTCAGTAATGGATCGGGTCTCCAGCCTCCTGGTCCAGACGAACCTGAACCACTGTGCCGCTGCGCAGGATCTCTTCCTGCAAACCATGGCACAGTGGTCGATAGGTGTTGCCGTAGTCGCGGAGCCCTATTTTGTCCCTCCCCGTCCAAACTCTATGGGTGACTGGGACGGCTCCGTGGCAGTCGTCGGTTCCACGGCGGCTCATTCCCCGCCCTTGTCGCTAAGAGACAAGGGCACTGGATATGTTGACGCCGAGTGGGAGGAGATCACCATATATGGTGTTTATTTCTCCCCCAACCGGAGTTTGAGCGACTTCGAGGTTTTCCTCAACAACCTGGAGACCTCGATGCGGCGACTAGCGTCTGGGCACGTCCTTGTTCTGGGGGACTTCAAAGCAAAATCTCCTGCGTGGGGTTCCCCCGGGACGGACGCAAGGGGCGAGGCCGTAGAGGAGTGGGCGGCCTCGGTGGGCCTCTGTCTTCTCAACAGAGGCTCCACCAACACGTGCGTGCGACAGCAGGGGGGGTCGATAGTGGACCTTTCGTTCGCTACCCCTGCCCTCGCCGCACGAGTAAGGAACTGGCGTGTCCTCTCGGATCATCTTTATATCCGATTTGAGCTCTCCCGGACCCAGGACTCCAGTAGGGGTCACGTGGCGCGGCGTTTATCCCGCTTTCCGCGGTGGGCTGTTGCCTGACTGAACCGGGACCTACTAGAGGAGGCAGCCATAATTCACTCGTGGCTGTCTCTTCGGGCCCCGACCGAGGAGGTCGACGTGGGGGCTGATCGCTTTCGCGATGCGATTACGCATGTCTGCGATGCGGCCATGCCCCGCATTCGAGGTCGTCGGCCTCCAAGGAAGGAGGTCTACTGGTGGTCCCAGGAGCTGGCGGACCTCCGTGCGGCCTGTACACGTGCCCGGAGGTCCTACACGCGCAGTCGGCGGCGTCACCGTGGAGACGGTGAGGAGGACCGGCTTCATGAGGAGTACCGAGAGGCGCGAAAAACTCTGAAGCTGGCCATTAGCCGTGCCAAAGAGATAAAGAGAAAGGAGATGCTGGAGGGTCTCGATCGTGACCCCTGGGGTCGTCCTTATCCACATGGCAGACCGCCTCGGGGAGGTGTTCGACGCTAGCTTGGCGTCGGGACGCTTCCCTGAGTGCTGGAAGAGCGGGAAACTGGTCCTATTAAGAAAGCCGGGACGGCCTGCCGATTCGGTCGCGGCCTACAGGCCCATCGTGCTGCTGGACGAGGCGGGTAAATTGTTTGAGAGGGTTCTCTCTGCCCGCATCGTCCGGCACCTCTACGAGGTGGGCCCCGATCTGTCGGACGCCCAATTTGGTTTTCGGGCGGGGCGTTCGACAGTCGACGCTGTGTTGCGCCTGAGGGCCGTGACCGAAGAGGCCGTGAGCTGTGGCGGCGTGCTGTTGGCGGTGTCACTGGACATCGCCAACGCATTCAATAGTCTGCCATTCAGCTGAATCAGGGAAGCACTCCACTATCATGGGGTGCCAAAGTACCTGAGGCGGCTAGTAGCAGACTATTTAGAGG